GCGGGCCCCGGGGGGGCGGCGCGGAGGCGGTGGGGCGGCGGTGGGGCCCCTGCCCGCGCTCGGCGATTTTTGGGGGGCCGAAAGGGCGGGCGGGTGCGCTGCGGATCTGACAGGACCTGCCCGTATATGTCTAATATAAAGACCATTTCCTGCGGCGCGAGGGGCGCTGCTCGTCCGCGCGCGCCCGGCGGGACCGCCCGCTCCCACCGCCCGATCCCGATCCCGATCCCGATCCCGCTCCCACCGCCGGCAGCCGCGGAGCGCACGGCGGGGGCTGCACCCCCTGCCGCCCCCCCGGCGGCCCGCGGAGGGCGGGCGGCGCGTCCCTAATTTATTTATCGCTGTTCCCCGGGAAGGGATGGAAAGTGGGTTATCGATTATATAAACACATCAATATTCATGGCGCTGCGCGGAGGGACGCGGCTCGGCCGGCATTGACAGCGCAGCCGGGGGAGGGGGAGCGCGGCGGCGGCGATGGGCGCGCTCCGCTCCGCGCCCGCGGACACGGGAGCGCAGCGAACGTGCCGGTGCTGCCGCTGCGGGGCCCGGGGCGATGTCTCCGCGGGCGCGGAGGGGCGCGGGGCGGGGGGCAGGTGCCTGCGCGCCCCGCGGATGGGGGCGGCCCCTTACCTGCGCCCCGCCCGCCCCCTGCGGCGGCGCCGCACGTCGGGGAAAGCCGCCGGCTCTGCGCATCCCGCGCAGCCTCCGCGATCCTGAGGCGGACAGCTCGGGGCGCCGCCGGGAGCCTCAGGCGCGGGGAGCCCCGGCCGGCGAGAGGGGCGGGCACCGCCGGCTCCGCACTTGGCTCCGCACCGGCGCAAGGGCCGCCCGCAGCGCTGGGCACGGAAAGTTCCCATCGGGGCCCCGGGAGCTGCAGCCCCGCAGGTAGATGCTGCTGCGGCCGGGGGGCTGCGCGATCCCCCGCGCCCGCGGAGCCGCCACCCGCCCAGCCCAGGACAGGAACGGGCGCATCATTCTGRGGGAGCTCTGTCCTTCTCGCCCTTTTCCACGGGGGCTCCATCACTGCGCGCCAGCGCAGCCAACCCCGGCTCCGCGGTGCTGGGGGGGGGAGGGAGCACTACAAAGCGGCTCAGCAGGGACCAACTCCCCGCGCCGCTGTCCTCTGTAGTGGCACTTCATTCCCAATTTTTGGCTCATTCCCCTCCCGAGCCCCCTCCGCGGGCCCTGATCCCAGCGGGAGGGAGGCAAGGGCGGGCACATGCCCGGGCGGCCCCAGGGGGGCGCCGCGAAACGGAAACAAATAAATAATTAAATAAGCAAATAAACAAACGAGCAAATAAATAAATAAATAAATAAAATCGTTAATAATGACGCCAGCGGTGACGTCAGCGCCTCGTGCATCACGACACAGCGCGCGCCGCGGGGGGCAGCAACAAGTGCGGGCGGCGCCGCGGGCGGGGCGCCCCCTAGCGGGCGGCGGCGGGGCCTGAGGGACAGCGGTGACAGCGGGGCGGACAGCGAGCGACAGCGGTGACAGCGGGGCCGGACAGCGAGCGACAGCGGTGACAGCGGGGCCGGACAGCGAGGGACAGCGGTGACAGCGGGGCCGGACAGCGAGGGACAGCGGTGCTCAGATCCCGCTGGGGCTCTCCCGCTGCAAGCGGTGACGTTCGGTCACCGGGAACCCCTGTGCGAGGCGCAGGCGAGAACGGAGCAGGCACGGGAATTTCGGCAAGGTTCGCACTCGAGGGGCCGTGAGGGTGAGGGATTCACCTTGACATCCCCGGCGCTCGCGCCTGGCTGGGATGCTTGGTGCTTCTCCAGGGGCACGCTGCTTTTCTGCTGGTTCCTCTGGAGGAATTACCAAACCCTTCCAGTTTGTAAGAGGTTTCACCYTTCCTCCCCTTTATCCATTTGCGATGTCCCAAGTGCCGGTCTGTGGCCATAGGGCTCGGTGAGAACGCTGTGAGCCCCGGGGCCAGGCTGGGTGCTGGGTGAGGACGGCGGGAAGCCAGCGGCTGCTAATGCTTGGGGCTTGCACCAGCACCAGCACGGCTTGGACGGGCAAATTCAGCAAAATAGCTCAGGAGAGCTGCGAGGAGCAGCCCTTTTGGCCATTAAAGTCCTGTCACTTTGTGCGTGGGAGCTCAGTCCCCTGTGGGGAGGATGTTTGGCAGGGGCTGGGCAGATACGGAAGGTGATGCAAGTGAGACCCACACCTGGACACATCCAGGCAGTACAGGGAGTGCTGCTCCATTTCACCCCCAGTGAGCTCCTGGCCAGAATAACATGCATTTCTTCAGCATTTTACCTTTGTTTTCACTGACCTTGACATGTTTAATCAGGGTTATATTCTCACACAGATGAAACCATCCTCAAACGATTGTTATAATATATTGAGCACAAACAGGTTTTTATTTGTTTATTCGTTTTCTCTTTCTCAKGCAGGTAGGACTGCTCCTTTCCCACAATATATAATCAAGTAGGAAAGAGAACTTCCCATCTTTGTTAGGGCCAAATCCCTCTGCTCCTACCCCAGCAGCTGGGGCCTGGGCACTGTTGGCAGCCTCAGTGCCAGCCCTCCCCACTGCACGGAGCATCTCTCACAGCTCTGATGGTTGCAGAGCCCCATCTTTCCCACCAGCCCCAGTGTTCCTCCAAGCATCCCTCCAATGCACGGTGTTATACCCACTATCAAGAAGGTGGTCAGGCTGAATAACGAAGCAAGGGCATGTTTTTGATCCTCTCAGCAGAGGGATGATTCTCCATCCGTGCAGCCTGCTGGGGTTATGGAGGGTGACCCAAGTCACTACTCCATGCACTGAGCTCCTGCAGGCCCCCACCCAACCTTCATTTGTAGAGGAGCTTGATGTCTGCGGGGCGGGAGAAGGGACCCAGCATGAACAAAAGGAGGCTTCACCCTCTATYCCCATGGCTCCAGCCCCCAGCCCTTGGTGTGGTTTCATGAGCTGCTGGTAGGACTATCAGCATCCTGTTTTAAGTTTCTCATGTTGGTACATTTGGAATGGGACAGGAACACAGMCTGTGGCAGTGCAGAAGAATACATATTCCCATCAATTGGGGTGTGCATACTCATCATTGCTCTGACATCAGTTGTACAGGAGCTTTCCCCCTCCCTGCCAGAAAACTCTTTATACTTCAAAATAATAAATAAAAAAGAAATACCAAGCCTGTTTATAGCAGAAATTGAAATTCCACATATTATCAAAAAGTTGGATTTTGTCCTGCAGGCACTGAATAAGTCATATGAATATTTTGTAACTTTCTCTGGCCAAAAGAAATGTGCAAAATGTTGTAATGTTTCTGTGCTTTCCTTTAGACATTCCAGGCTTTTGCTTAAGCTTCTCATAAAAGGCTATTTTCAGTGAAGAGAGGAAAAAAAGCATGCAGTCTACAGTATACCGAGTCAATAAAGTAATGCAAAACCATAAAACACAGCAATGATAACAACAGAAGATCAGTAGATTACAAAGGAAATAAGATGGGGATCAAACAGAGTGGTAGCTGGAAATGACTGCATAGAAGCCAAAATAAGACTGGTCCTAATAAACAGCYAAAGTTGAACAAAAAGGCATTTGAAGCGTTAATTTATTAAATAACTTTATTTTCATGCCTTACAATTAAAAATAGTTGTGGTCAGGCATGTTGGGAGACGGGAAGCAATTGGAGTCTTCAAACCCGGCTTTGTGCTTGGAAGGGAGCGCAGCCTGACCCACGCTGCGATGGGGCTGTGCCTGCACCGGGGGGCAGCCAGCAGGGCTGGGGGCTCCAGTTGGATTTCTGATCCTCTGCTCGGAGCTTTTGSCCTCCAGGCTTTTAAAACACAGAGGAGTTTTACGGGGAATGCCCAGGGTGGAAGGAGGAGTCACAGCCGGGCTATGAGGGTGATGCTCCTGTTCAGCACACAGGATGGGATGCAAAGCCTTGTGAAATTGCCATGAGGCCCCTGTTCACTTCAGCAGGTTTTGGGATCAGTCTCTCACTTTGGGAGCCCTTTAGATSAGATGTTCAAATCACCAGCTCAGCACATTAATAATATCAGGAGTCAGATAATTTATCTTCCCTTCAAAAGATCCACCAGCCCCAATATGTGACCAAACTGAGCAGAAAACCCTGTGTGAGATCAGCTTTCAAAYCCCAGTCTTCAATTCATATGTGCATTTGGAGTTTTTATCTACCTTACATTTCTTTCCATTGCCCTGGCATTGTGTTTTTAATTCCCCCATAGCACTGCTAGCAGCTTGCCTGGAATGAGCACCCCACTGCCCCAGGGCTCACAGACCAGGCTGCTTAGGGAAAATAATCATCACCGAATATGAAAATATTCACCAATAAAATAGTGACTGGTGGGTGGGATGGATCACCTGCACGTGCAGGAAGTAGGAGCGTGCCTAGATGATTGCAGAGTGTTCTGAGACCTATAACTGGGGGTGCAGCCAGGGGACAGAAAGAACCAGCAGCTGAGCAACCCCCAAAATAGTTCTTCATTCTTACCAGTAACTGAGCTGCAGCGGCTGCTAACTGCTGCCTGCAAAGCTGGCTCCATGTAGTGGCACAGGGTGATGGGTCAGCTAAA